ATTTATTATTTGAAATAAGGCTTTTCGTGGTTTTAAATAAGCGACTGAATAAACCATCATCCACCGGACATCAAATAGCCAATGACTGAGTTATGATTTCAAATCATTAAGTCATGATTTGAAATAATAACCGCAAGATTTGAAATCAGGATTTATTATATCAAATCATATGTTTATGATTTGATATAAAGAAAAATGTGAAAACGTTTCACACAATCGTAGAAATGCTCGATGCAAATACATGCAGAGCGGAGTACTATAATTAAAGATAGAGACCGTACGGACAGTTTTTCTATCTTTAATTATAGTATGATTTGAAATAATAATTTATTATATCAAATCATAAACTTATGATTTGAAATCAGAATTTATTATATCAAATCATAAACTTATGATTTGAAATCAGGATTTATTGTATCAAATCATAAACATATGATTTGAAATAATTTATTATATCAAGTCATAAACTCATGATTTGAGATCAGGATTCATTATATCAAATTCTTAACGTATCATATCATATCACAAAACTTTATTTAGTAAATAACGAATTTTTTTTTTTTTACAAACGGCGCCCCGTACGAGTGAAGCGACAAAAAAAGTCGAGTGACCGAACAGAGAAGGGCAAATGTACAAATGTCACGAACCGTAGAAGTCGTATAGGCTAGTCATTTTATATCGAAAATATTTCGCACAATTCGTGCTTCGGACTCATCTTCGATCATTTTCCTGATACGTTTGGATGCATATACGAGATTGACCTGTAACGGAAAAACCCTGTTAACTATTATGCAATGAAGCCAGTGGCTATGTTATTTTTTTTTTTTTTAACGTGGAGAGAGAACCCGCTTTGAAGCCCGACACTATGGAAATACGCAAAAGGTGTGAAGAATCCTATAGCAAAATTTTAGATCAAATTATGTTGTTGCTTGGAAGGGAAAACACCGACAACTATTAACTTAGAGTTCTTGATTGTACTGTATCGTTAAGTTTTACATAAAAGAATTAAACGATTGTCTTACCTCGATCGAAGACATGATATTCTTCTTAGACTTGACAGGGACCACCAAGTCGTCATGAATTTGAAGCTCAGCTGGCAAGAAATTTTCTCTCTGGCTTTGTCTTAACAAAGATCTCGGCTGCACGCATGGACGGTTAATATCCACTGCTGACTTTTTCCTGGCAGGACTAGTTGAAGTCCGCGAACTTTTATGACGCCTTAACGTCAATTTCACGCCGTTTCACGCATCGTTGCGCCACGTGCAGACATGTCAATTTCCAAAA